TAAGTCAGGTAGCTAGAAAAGGTGTAAGTAATTTTAGTAGTAGTGTGGTCCTTCATGGATTACTAGTGCTAAGTGTGAAAGAAAGGAGAGTTGGGTGGCTAAAAACCAGGGCAGGTTTAGATTAGATGTTAGGAAGAAATTCTCCCCTGTGAGGTGCTGAGGCACTGGCACAGGTTGCCCAGAGAAGCTGTGGCTGCTCCATCCCCGGGAGTGTTCCAGGCCAGGTTGGACGGAACTTGGAGCAACTTGGGCTAGTGGAAGATGTCCCTGCCCATGGCAGGGGTTGGAACATGATGAGCTTTAAGGTCCTTCCAACCCAAAGCATTCTGTGATTCTATGATGAAATGCTCAGCCCCATCCTCTCACTATCATTCCTCTGCTTTAGTTTTGTTCCCAAAAAGTGCATTACCTGTCTCCCTTGGAAACCCATTCCCATGGCAACACGGAGGAATAGCTCCATACAGACATGTTAGTGCTTTGACAGCCTCTTCTTTTTGTGACATTTCTCATGGCAACATCCCGAGCCTGTCAGGGAGATGATGTGAGATCGCCTGTGTCCAAGACATCACTTGGATGATTTTCTACTGAGAACTTGTTTTTGCAGTCTTTCACTCTCCTGGCTCTTGAACTCTCAGTCTGTGTATCACAACTGCAAGTTTATCTGAAATGTGTTGCAAAATCTATCTATTTGCCTTTATCAGCAAAAATCCATAACCTCAAACAAGATGTTTTTGACAAGAATTACTTTCCATAAAGCCACACTGCCAAGTACCACGAGCTGCTTCAGTGGTTTTCTGAGCTCAATCCCACATTGTGGCTTTTTTTTGGGTCAGATGCTAAGCAAGTTTACTTGTACCTACACCACCAACACAATGAATTTCTAGCTACACTCTTTACACACACTCTTACCGGGATTAACTTTGTTATCATTTTTTCCCACTCTGTTGTGAGTAAATATGCTGCATCTGAGCACTTCACAAATTTACCAATTAAAAATACCTCGTGAACTTCTGGCTGTGGATGATAAGAGGAAGTGTATGTGTATACAGGGTGATAACCTTGAGCTCCATGAATTGCAGTCAGCATTTCTGCTTCCAAAAGCATAAAACTCCTCCTCAAGGGCATTCACCAGCCACAGCCAACAGCTCCAGGCTATGTCCTAAACATCTATAGGGTGCAGAAAGGTTGAGAACCTTTGCAGTGATGCTCACAAGGAAATCTGACACGGCTGGACTTTCATTGCACACAAAGACAAGGTACAAGGATGTTTTTTGTTCTAATCCCTACCAAACAGAGATGTATGAGTAACATTTCACATGAGAAAAAAAGGGTTAAAAAGGAAAGTGCAATTTGTGACACCAAGATGAAGGTAAAGCTGTCATTAAATAGCACAGCCAGTATTGAGGTGATCTGCTCTGATCTAGAATTTAAAATTTTCAAGAATTGCTTATTCCTTTACCAAGAACAAGGGGCGACTTGGTGCCTTGCTCACTGTGGAAAAGTGAGGTGTGGATGAACACCAAGAGCAATAAAATGTGCAGATAAACTCTTAGAGCACAGGGCACTTTGCTCAGGTGTGCCCTCCTGGGAGGCCCCAGAGGCTGCCACTGTCTTTGACTAGGAAAAGAAGGAAATGCTGTACTGCCAAAACCAAGAGGATAGAGAGAAATAACAGATATTATGATTTGGGGCTATAATTATAATTCAGAGTTCCTCTCCCTCTTTTGTTGGAGATCCTTTCCTGAAGGTGCGAGGGCAGAGCTACAGTCAGACCCAGTACTCATCCAACTATCATGACAGACAAATACATCATTTTTAGCTGCAGCAGAAGGTATTTCAGTACCAGTTTCTGCTCCTTTTGTCCCAACTGCCTGTCAACATTCAGGAAGAGAGAAAGAGCAAGTCGCTGTGCTGGGAATGATTCCACTTCAGAACAACCAAACTAAAGGCAAACTCTTTTATTTTCTATATGACTGGGAATAGCTCTGCAGAGTCACGGCAATGGAAACTTGAAAATATGTTCTATATTTTTAATGGAGTTTGAAAAAACATTCTATTTTGTCGCT